ATTTCTTGATCTATATTTGGCTAGTTGGGGATAATATAGAAATCTATTTTCTAGATGAAGGGAAGATTTCTGTTTGCCAGTTTATATTGAGCATTGCAATCAGAAAGTTGAGTCGTCGATCAGGAAAAGTTGTGGGAAATCATCAAAGGGATAAAACTCACAATTAGTTGAAGCTGGGATTCTACTTTTCTTTTTTAAATCAATTTGTACTACTGTACACATCACAACATCGAAAGAGAAAAAATGTTCTTAGTGACTACTGGGATCAGACAGTCGCAAGTTGGCGATCAAGCAATTAGGCCAAATCAATAAAGAAAAAAACGGATTGTAGCCGGGATTCTACTTTTTACAAATTAATTTGTGTTACATTCTCCACTAAAGAAAATAAAAATTACAACAACAAGACAAACGATATAAAACCGTAGAGAAATTTTAATAAAATTTGAAAAGCGTGACAAACCCAATAATTTTCTAATCACTAAAATCACCATCACTAGTGATGGCAGATTATTTCTTCAAGTAATTAATTTTTTTTTCACGTTACATCAAAAGTAAATATGCATAAATAATTGCAACTGACTTTATCCGAATTACAGTGGTTGGCGTGAAAGGGGCTTTATGCTGCGTTAAGACTGACGCCATTTAGAAGCAAGTTTCCATTAATGGCAAGATCGTACAAGCCACCTAGAAAGTTTAACTCTTGTATTTATGCAAGTAGCCTCATGGAGATTTGTGCAATTATGACTTTACCTCGACTCTGCCAACTTCATTAGCTAATTGCTTGATGAGCTTGGTCCCTTTGTACGAAATTTCAGACACAACAAATCTCGTTACATTTCCCAATATACACATACATAAATATATCTGTATGTGAGAAGTATCTATGGAATTTTAATTAAATCAGCTCTCAATTCCAAGTACCGCAATGCCATGTATTTCTGCCTCTTATCCAATATCGACGAAATTACAGGAAAAATAAAATTCAAGCCAATTGAAATACCATCTCAATGAAGATAAGACTCGACAATTTAATTCGAGGTGGGAAAAAAGTATTCCACGTGAATCCAACGGGACAATAATAATTGCTTTAATAAAGTACAACGTCAATAAAATGTGACCTCAATTTTAAAACTGTTTTCAGTTCTCAGAAATTTTTATTAAAATATTTAAGAAAAAGGTAACTTGATTAAAAAGTTCGTAGAATTAAATTTTTAATCACACTCTTTTTGGACAATGTCAGTATATATTTGTGATAGACAGCAGTCATCTTTAATTCAGGATGGAACAATTTAAATTTTTAGTTCACTCAGATTTGTGACAGTCAGCAGTCATCCTTTATTCAGGATGGAAGATTTAGGATGCAACAGTCTAATTCTTCAGTTCACTCAGAAAAAATAGTTTTGTAATTTATTCAATCGACTAATTCTGTCTGACATTTTTAAGCATCAATATATTTGTGCCAATTGACATCTTCAACTACAATTAGGAACCTAAATTTTATTTAAAATCTTAATTCATCTAAAAATTATTGCAGTCGCAAGGTTTGTAAACATAAAAACAAAACGATGCGAATACTAGTTAATTTCTAAAGAAATATTCTAATTCTAAATATACAAACATTTTTAATAAAACAACAATTATTATAAAGTAAAACAGATATAGTCATTAAAACAATAAATGCATTGTCCAATTAAATTTCATTCATTCACTTGCTACGCCACTTCTAACTTTAGTTTTCATTAACTGAATTAAATCCAGAAACAGACTAACTAAGATTATAAACTTCGCAGCTTAGAAAATTAATTGTCTTCAAGTATTGTTCTTGTTAAAATTAGATTTAGAAATATTTGAAAACTATGGACTAATAAATTTTACCCTGTGCTTTAAAGAAAAGAAAAAAACCCTAACCCATTCGAATATAGTTAGGGATATATCAAGATATAAATATAAATCTTTGAATGAAAGAATTTTAATAATGACTCATGAGGATAGAAATAATGGAAATTAGAGATAACGGAGGAACTCCCCGATTTGTTTCGTTTATACATCAATTAGTTTCTTTCGATGTATGCAAACAAGTGCAAGTTCAGATGAAGAAATATAAACGTTATGAGTTGATAAAAGTATAAAAGACGCGTACTGATCTCAAACAACATTCAATTGCCACTTGAGCCTTCTATTAAGAAGTTAATTCAAAAGCAGTAAAAGAGGTAAGCACTTCATGTTATTTATAATTACTAAAATTAATAATTACTAACTAATGATTCAAATTAGCAATTACTAAGTAATCAGTATGATTATTTTGATACTAACATCCTACAGAATTTGATACTATATACTAATAATATGCAAATCTAAAAAATACCAGTCTGTTAGTGCCCTTAATACTCAAAAATCAAATTTTTATTTTCCAGTTGCCAATATCAAAAACATCAAGATGAGAAATATTTTTTCAATCGTATTGCTATTAGTAGCATTTGTAGCATTTACGCATGCACAAATTGGACCACCTCGAAGACCATTCCCTGGACATGGACCTTTTAACCCTCATCAACCTAAACCGTGGGGTGGTAGACGTCCGGTAAGTCCCAAATTCGTCGTCATTAAAAATGTCCTTCTTCCTTAAAGAATGTTTTAATTTTAAATAATCTTTTTTATTGCAGGCTCCACGTTTTCGTCGATCACCCAAAGATAATCATCTAACTGTTGAAGCAGGAAGACAAGGAGGAAGTTCATCATATAATGTTGACTATGGCCGAACGGTTCATGAGAATAAATACGGAAGAGTTATTGTTAATGGGGGAATGAATAAGGAACCACATGGAAGACCCGAAAAACATATTGGAATTACGGGACAGTGGGATTTCTAATTAAATCATCAAAGTTAGGACTACAATTAAAATAATATCCTCAATTATTTATTTACGAAATATTGGCATTTATTAGTTTTTAATTTTTGTTGTACATTTTCCGTCCATTACTTGTACATATTGCATTTTGTTCAGTTGATATTTATGAAATTTTAATAAAAAAATCTTTAATATTTATTCTCTGTCTTTTGTTATATACCCACTATTTTAAACCATTGTTAAATATTACCATCTACCTAACTAAATTATTACAAATTATTAATAGAGACGATCTTTCAAGACAATTAAAAAATTTTCGAAACCTTATGAAGAAAGAGGAGCTAATCAGTCTTAGAGGACAGACCCCACTCTTAGGTGTCAATATATTTTTGCCAGTCAGTAGCCATCCATTATTCAAGATGGAACAATCTAATTCTCAAGTTCATTCAGAAAAATGTATTTGTAATTTACACAATCAAGTAATTGAATGTAGACTACTTGGAGGTTTTCTGGGTCGCTGATTATAAATCCAAAATCAGTTTTTAAAAATACAAAAAAAATCTTATTATACAGCTTTAAAAAATAAAATTTGGCGGATTCAATATGACAGGACATAAAAGAACTCAAGGGTTTTTAGAACCGATATTTGTTTTTTGAGGGTTTTACTATCACCATATTTGATCGGACATTCTGTATTTTCAGAAAGTCAAGCATGAAAGGGTGAAAATAAGATTAATTAATATTTAGTCACATTATATATGTAGAAATAAAATTGTGGAGATATAAAACAGAAAGTGAATTTGAAAATCTGTCCATAATAACTGATTCAGAAGCAAAAAGTCAGTCACTGATTGTCTTAACTAATTCAAATTAAGAGAGTAATAAAAGGTGTGAAATAAAAGATGCTGATTTGAAAAAATAAAAGTATCTTCCTTCTACAGAGGGCGCTTTGGCCACTGGTAAAAATATGACTGTTTGTCAATGTAGCTCATAGCAGAATCGTCTAAAAAAATAAAATAAAATTTTATTTCAAATTGGACGACTTAATACAGGACCTAAACCTCTGATTTACTCCTAATGTTTAATATTACATTTTTGTGTATCATTTATGTTAAAAAAATTGTGATTTTTAAATTTTTAAATTCAAAGCTTGCCATTTTCTTAATTTTTTATTTTTTGAGTATTTCGAGATTTAGGTCATGTGATAAGTCATCTATTTTGAAATTATGTTTTATTTTTTTATTTTAGATGATTCTGCTATGAGCTACAATGACAACCGTAATTGAAAGTTATTTTTACCAGTAGACAAAGCGTCGTCTGTAGAAGGATTCTTTCCAATCTGAAATTATTTTTTTAAAACTTCTTAATATACACAATAACATGTAAAAACTTACGATCAATTATATTTTAAAACTTATGAGCAAAAAAATTTTTTAAAATCTTCCGATTTTAGGGCTAAAAGAGTTGCATGATCCTTTAAGAACGTCCAATGTTCTAAAAACGTTTTTAGAACATTAGACGTTCTTAAGCCGTTATGTAGCGGACATGAAAAGTTTTAAAAACGTTTTAGGAACGCTTCTAGAACAAAGACGTTTCCGTGTCCAGAGGGAATCTTCTCGTTCCATGGTTTTTCTAAATTGTGATCATAGTCAAAACATAGAAATTTTTAGATTTAAATTTGTTTTTCCGTTGGTCATGGTTCATAAAATTTCACCATAGTAAAAATATAAAAATTTATAGATGTTTGCCATAGTTAAAAATTGTAAACTGTGAATGCTTACAAGCATTTTTGTCTTCGGCCATGGTTACCTAGAGTTATCACTGACACATTATTTTATAGTCTAGGAAACGACCATAAGCAATGGTGTTTAAAAATTAGAAGATTATTTGTTTTCAAGTTTTGTTCATGATAAAATTAAATTTAGACATATTTGAAAATTATGGACTAATAAATTTTACCATATGATTTGAACAAAACAAAAAACCCTAACCCTTTCGAATAAAGTTAGGGATATATCAAGAGATGAAGATAAATCTTTGAATGAAAGAATTTTATTAATGATTCATGAGGATAGTAATCATGCAAATTAGAGATAACGGAGGAACTCCCCGACTTGTTTCGTTCATCTACATCAATGCATTTCTTTCAATGTATGCACACAAGTGCAAGTCGAGATGAAGAAATACTAGCATTATAATTGTAGTTTTCATGAGTTGATAAAAGTATAAAAGACGCGTACTGATCTCAAGCAACATTCAATTTCGACTTGAGCCTTCTATTAAGAGGTTAATTCAAAAGCAGTAAAAGAGGTAAGCACTTCATGTTATTTCTAATTACTAAAATTAATAAATACTGAATAACGTCTAAAATTAGCAATTACTAAGTAATCAGTATAATTATTTTAATACTAACATCCTAAAGGATTTTATACTAATAATGCAAATGTAAAACATTCCAGTCTGTTAACGCCATTAATACCCAAAAATCGAATTTCTATTTTCCAGTTGCAAATATCAAAAATATCAAGATGAGAAATATTCTTTCAATTGTAATGCTATTAGTAGCATTTGTAGCATTTACACATGCACAAATTGGTCCACCTCGAAGACCAAATCCAATGTTTCCTGGACATGGACCTTTTAACCCTCGTCAACCTAGTCCGTGGGGTGGTAGACCATTTAAAGTAAGTCCCAAATTCGTTGTCATTAAAAATGTCCTACTTTCCAAAAATAATGTTTAAATTTTAAATAATCTTTTTTATTATAGCCTCCAGTTCGTTTTCGTCGATCACCCAAGGATAATCATCTAACTGTTGAAGCAGGAAGACAAGGAGGAAGTTCATCATATAATGTTGACTATGGCCGAACGGTTCATGAGAATAAATACGGAAGAGTTATTGTTAATGGGGGAATGAATAAGGAACCACATGGAAGACCCGAAAAACATATTGGAATTACGGGACAGTGGGATTTCTAATTAAATCATCAAAGTTAGGATTACAATTAAAATAATGTCCTCAATTATTTATTTACAAGATATTGTCATTTATTAGTTTTAAAATTTTTTGTACATTTTCCGTCCATTACTTGTACATATTGCATTTTGTTCAGTTGATATTGATTGAATTTGAATAAAATAATCTTTTAATGTATATTCCTCTACGTCTTTTGTTTTCTACCTATTGTCTTTAACCAGTGGTAAATATTACCATCTACCTAACTAAATTATTACAAATTATTAATAGAGACGATCTTTCAAGAGAATTGAAAAATTTTCGAAACCTTATGAAGAAAGAGGAGTTATAATCAGTCTTAGAGGACAGACCCCACTGTTAGGTGTCAATATATTTTTGACAGTCAGCATTTATCCTTTATTCAAGATGGAGCAATCTAATTCTTAAGTTCATTCAGAAAAAAGAATTTGTAAATTATACAAACAATTAATTAGAATTAACAATCATAATTTTGTTTGTAGTCTTTATTCGTCTAAAAAGTATTGCGGACGAAAGAAATAGCAGAATCCCGGCTACAATAAGGTTTTAAAAAATTCAAAAGTAGACAGCTGATTTTAATAACCGTTCTCATATCTAGATGTTAGATCATTATTAGGTGTCAGTATATTTTTGACTGTAGATCATCGGCTAAAGGCCAGAACAATTTAATACTCCAAAACTTAATCGGGTATCATTAAATTATAAAATTTGATATTTGCAATACGATGTAAAGTCTCATTTTAAATATTCAGTCCGTAATTTTTATTAGTGAATAAGAATATGAATTCACTTAAACTTGAAAAGTGTAAGAATAAATTGTTCCTCAGGGCTTTAGACCTGGACGACTCTTTTATTTACTCTATATTAATGGCATTAATTCAGTGCCTAATTATTGTTTGTTTTTACTTTCTGCTGACGATTTTAAATTATTTTTCTCTATACATTCTCTTAATAACTGTCTTAATTTTCAAAAAGATTTACTAATTTAAATAAATGGTGCCCTACTTTTAAAATTTCAATGAATATATCTAAGTGTATCACTATTTCTTGTACAAGGAAAACTAAGAGTATTAACTTTAATTATAAAATCAATAATCATGAACTTGTAAGGGTGGAACAAGTGCGGGACCTTAGTATCACTCTAAATAAAAATATTTCTTTGGAGGCCCATATTTCGAATGTGGTTAATAAAGCTGTAAAAATCCTTGGATTGATTAAAAGAGATGCATCTAGCTTTAAAAACTTAACTTTTTTGAAAACTCCTTATTATTCACTTGTGAAATTTTTAATAGAATTTGTGTCTGTCACATGGTCTCCATACTACAGTACTCATATATATTGAAATTAGAGCGTGTTCACAACCGTTTTTTTGCGTTTTGCAGCCAAACAATTAAACATTCCATTTGATTATTATTTACATGCTTATGATAATTTACTAGAAATACTTAAAATACCAAAAATAGAAACCAGATTTTTATATAATTTAATTTTCCTATTGAAAATAGTCAGTGGATTGACAAAGGGTCCAACAGTCTTGGAACGTATTAATTTGTCTGCACCCATAAGGAGTTTCAGAAACTATTTGCCTTTTAGTACAGCAATCAACAGAACCAATTACGGTTACTATTCTACTTTTAATAGACTTACTAGAATTGCTAACAAATATAGTGATAAGCTGGATTTCTTTGGAGTTTCTTTGTCCTCTTTTAAAAGAAATTTGAAACATTTATTATTTCATGTAGATGTCAACGCCTCACAGTACTTTACGTTTATGTAGCTTAACCACAATGTACTAATACAAGGGCATATAGCCCGTTTAAATTGTTAATAAATAAATTAATTAATTTCACATTTTTGTATACGAATTCGTGTTTATACAGAATTAAATTCACAGATAACCTAAATTCAACACTATGATGCGAATAGATAAACGTTAACACATTTAAATAATTAAATAGTATATGTTATTAAAGAATAGATTAAAATTATAGTAAAATAATTTGTGTCTTTTATTATTTATTCATTTTAGTTATTTGATGCCTAACCCATTCGAATAAAGTTAGGGATATATCAAGATATAAATATAAATCTTTGAATGAAAGAATTTTAATAATGACTCATGAGGATAGTAATAATGCAAATTAGAGATAACGCAGGAACTCCCCGATTCGTTTCGTTCATCTACATCAATGCGTTTCTTTCGATGTATGCACACAAGTGCAAGTCCAGATGAAGAAATACTAACATTATGATTTTAGTTTTCGTGAGTCGATAAAAGTATAAAAGACGCGGACTGATCTCAAACAACATTCAATTGCCACTTGAGCCTTCTATTAAGAAGTTAATTCAAAAGCAGTAAAAGAGGTAAGCACTTCATGGTATTTATAATAATTATTAAATTAAATAATTACTAAAATAATAACTAAAATTAACAATTGCTAAGTTATCAGTACTAAAATTAATAAATACTAAGTAATCACTACTAAAGTTAATAAATCCTAAGTAATTACAAAATTTAATTATTACTAAACAATCATCACTCTAAACAATCATCACTAAGGATTATTTTAAAACTAACTTCCTGTAGAGTTTGATACTAATAATGCAAATCTAAAAAATACCAGTCTGTTAGTGCTATTAATACTCAAAAATCAAATTTTTATTTTCCAGTTGCAAATATCAAAAAGATCAAGATGAGAAATATTCTTTCAATTGTATTGCTATTAGTAGCATTTGTAGCATTTACACATGCACAAATTGGACCACCTCGAAGACCATTCCCTGGACATGGACCTTTTAACCCTCATCAACCTAAACCGTGGGGTGGTAGACGTCCGGTAAGTCCCAAATTCGTCGTCATTAAAAATGTCCTTCTTCCTTAAAGAATGTTTTAATTTTAAATAATCTTTTTTATTGCAGGCTCCACGTTTTCGTCGATCACCCAAAGATAATCATCTAACTGTTGAAGCAGGAAGACAAGGAGGAAGTTCATCATATAATGTTGACTATGGCCGAACGGTTCATGAGAATAAATACGGAAGAGTTATTGTTAATGGGGGAATGAATAAGGAACCACATGGAAGACCCGAAAAACATATTGGAATTACGGGACAGTGGGATTTCTAATTAAATCATCAAAGTTAGGACTACAATTAAAATAATATCCTCAATTATTTATTTACGAAATATTGGCATTTATTAGTTTTTAATTTTTTTTGTACATTTTCCGTCCATTACCTGTACATATTGCATTTTGTTCAGTTGATATTGATAGAATTTGAATAAAATAATCTTTTAATGTATATTCCACTACGTCTTTTGCTTTCTACCTATTGTCTTTAACCATTTTGTAAATATTACCGTCTACCTTACTAAATTATTACAAATTATTAATAGAGACGGTCCTTTCAAGAGAACTGACAAATTATCAAGGGAGGGAAGCTAGTCAATCTTAGAGGACAGACCACTGTTAAGCGTCAATATATTTTTGACAGTCAGCATTTATCCTTTATTCAAGATGGAGCAAACTAATTCTTAAGTTCATTCAGAAAAAAGAATTTGTTATTTATACAAACAAATAATTAGAATTAACAATCAAAATTTTGTTTGTAGTCATAATTCATCTAAAAAGTATTGCGACCGAAGAAAAATAGCAGAATCCCGGCTACAATAAGGTTTTAAAAAATGCAAAAGTCGACAGCTGATTCTAATAACCGTTCTCATAATTAAATGTTAGATCAGTGTTAGGTGTCAGTATAGTTTTGATTCTAGATCATCGTCTGAAGACCAGAACAATTGAATACTCCAAAACTTAATAACATATCAATAAATTGTTTCGTCAAAAATTATAATTCCACTGTAATTGTTAGGCCAGATCTGTAGCACAATTATTTATCATGAGTTTCGAGTTTCGAAGGGCAAACGATCCTTAATCCTTCCACTTAGACGCATCTGTGTGGAATCTACATGCGAGTTCAATGCGGGTGGATGTCCCCCTCTACCTTTCTCAATGTTAGTGATCCTTTCAAGCAAACGTTATTGGAGCGGAGGATAATCGCAGAGATTTCCTTCAGGAAATTACTTTTCCAAGTAGATGCCTCCACAAAGAAGAAATGCAAAATATGTTAGAAATATTGCTTTCGTGTGACTCTCTTGCGCGGTCTCCGAACATCACGCTTAATTAACACAAAAATTCTTTATTCTAAAATAAATTTTTTTTTCAAAACGCAATTTTCCTCTGTTAAAACTTTTCCCATTTAATACAATTGGAGTTTTAAATGAATTTCTTAACTCCAAGAGATTGGGTTCTAAATAAAACTTCCTGTTCTTAATGGGGTACTTTGTATACTACTGCAGGCTATTAACTATTAAGGACTATTAAAGATTTTGTCTTCTTTCTTTGAAAAAAATTATTTATAACTAGATCTTTGTACTTACAACGAAAAATGTTGCAATTATTTTTCAAAAAAGTGCAAAATTGCATACACAATGTGCTGATATAGCAATGTTAAATGAATTAATAATCTGTTTATGAAAATTTTAAAAATGTAAGGAAAACAACTCTAATAAAAAAAGTTACTATCTCGGAAATATAAAAGATAAATTCTCATCCCGCATTCCATTCAGTTCCGTGTTCTCCTACTAGTGAAGATTAATTAGCGTGCAAAGCGTACAAGAGGTTAGTGAAACTTCAATCATATGCAATTCATTCTGATTTAATGAAATACTCAATTATTTTATTCTCTGCTTATTAATTTTAAAAAGTTTATAACTTTTTTGCAAAAATTTTTTGAAAAAGAACTTTAATTTAAAGTGTACAGTAATTTGGTGCAATATTCTGGTGTAATAAAATTGAAAAATTCCTTTTACAGAAACGCGAAGAAAGGAAAAATATAAAAATGAAAAATTTTATCTCGATTTTAATGCTATTAGCAGCAATTATAGCATTTACACATGCTCACACAATATTAGTTCCTGGAAAATCTAATCCGTTTCCTGGACATGGACCTTTTAACCCTAATCAACCGAAACCGTGGGGCAAACCAGCACCTCAAGTGAGTTAACACTTCCGATACTTTATCAATTGGAAAAACAATTTTGTCCCGATCAGACGCATTTTGCTATTGTCTGCTATCTTGTATTTAAAATAATTTTAATTATTAAGCATTTCAAATAATTTTAATTATTAATTATTTTAAATAATTAACAAAAATAATGAATGTATATAAATATTAAAACTAACATTTAATAAATAAAATGCAAAAATTAAATTCAAATAAAAAAACTATAATATTCTATATGCGGAAAATATTTTTGTATTTAAAAAATTAAAATCTTTTTTTAGCATCGTTTTCGAAGATCCGATGATGAAAAAAAGAATCATATAAAGATTGAGGGTCAAAGGGAGAGAGGAAGTTCTTCATATAATGTTGATTATGGGCGCACTATTCACGAAAATAAACATGGAAGTGTCATCCTCCATGGAGGAATGAACAAAGATTCACATGGCAGACCAGATAAACACGTTGGAGTTCAAGGACAATGGCGTTTCTAATTAAATTCAATTGGATATTCTGACTTTAGATCTCAACTATTTTAGAAATTAAAAGAGAATTTAATTAAAATTTTCAATATATATTGTCTGTTTGAAAGTATATTAATTTCGCAGCGAATAAAATAAATAAAAATATTTAAAAAACATATCTAATTATTTTCTAATTTCGTCTAACAATTTAAGCGTTATGTCAAATATTTTTATTTTACCCTAATTATCTAATTTTTCGCCGATGGATTATGACGTGAAAATAAGAATAATAGTTTAGAAAGTGAAGATAAAAGTGGTATGTTGTCATATTCAAGAAATACTACCACAGATATTGGAAATTAATTAACAGTTAATTAAACAAACTAGTTCTCAAAATTTTAACAAAAAAGGGTTTTGTAATTTATACAATCGAATAATTGGAAGATAAATTCTTTGCAGTCTCAAATGGTCTAAAATTGCACACAAAAAAGAAATAGTAGAACCCTGATTACAATCAGTTTTTAAAAAATTAAGTTTTAAAATAATTAAAAATATTAAAAGTTAAAATATTTTTTAAAATTATTTCAATACTAAAGTAAATATCGTTTCTTCAATTTACGTCAATGATATAAACTGATTTACTACATTTAGTAGCTCTTGTACTGAATTTAATACCGTGTGTTCTTTTTATTACCGGATATGATCCCCTATTCTGTAATTAAGACAGAGAAACCGAGGTTTCTATCATTTAAGGGTCGAACGGAGACAAATCTTTACTTAGTTTTTCCTGTGGGAAGTCACTTGTCACACGAACGATCTCTCTTCATTTCCAATATAAATTTATAGCTCAATTAATAAAGCCTTTTTTCCGTCTCCAAATGTAATGAATCCTTCCGTTCAAATTTGTACACTTCGTTTAAATCATATCTATTGGTAACTGTACTGCAATTATTAATTATGCTTCTTATGAAACGAGTAAATATGCAAATGAGTTAAAAAGAAGAAATTCTTTAATATATTTATTTTAACTTCCCAGGTGGAAAAGTTAACGTTAGCTAATGATATTAATGTTAGAAAAAAGACTGATAATAAAGTGAAAATATTAAAAATCTATTAGTGGGAAAAAACAGGGATATCCCAGTAATTTAAAGAGTAGTTTAAATAATGGATATAATTCAGAGAAAGAAAGTTTAAACTCAGATTAGAGATAACTGTGGTACTCCCCTGTTAGTTATATCTATAGCGTCTTAATACATTCAGCAAAGCAGACTGCGAACGTTATTGCAAAATAAATTTGTACATATATGAATAAACGTCTCATTGTGTTGATGCGCACGTGCGTGAACTTCAGAGATACAAGGAAAAAATTCTCTTATTAGCACTTCATTGATATAAAAGATGCAGTCTGATCTCCAATTGCAGACAGTTCACTAACAAACCTTCCACTGAAAGGTTATTGTCAACAAACAACACAACTCGTAAGTTTGATTTTAATAATTAATTTCTGACATTTGAATCATAATCTCTTAAATCAACTGATAACAATTAATTATAAACTCATCATTATATTTTAATCTCCAAATAAAAATTTAATTTTCAGTATTAGTCCTTTTCACTTGACAATTTTAGGAAAGGATTCAAAAATAATTTTCATTTTTGATTCTGGCACTTAAACTTTTCTGCTACTACTAATTAAAAAAATTCTTAATGCTCTGCTATAAAGTGAATAATTATTTTTACAGAATTTGGTTTAAATCAACCTCACGGGAAAATGAAGAGTTTTCTTGCAATTTTCATGCTATTTGTTGCACTAATGGCGACGATAGATGCCTTCAGACATGTTCCACAAATACCGCCACACAATAATCGACCTCAATTTCCAACTTTCCCTGGACAAGGACCATTTAATCCGAAAATTAAACCATACCCATATTATGTGTAATGTCGATTATAACAGCATGAGACAGGAGGAACGAACAACCACGTACCTCCTAACGACAGACTACAAAATTATATTAGAATTTCTATAATGGAGTTTCCGATAATGTCAAGAATTCAAACTAACCTATCAGACACACCCATAAACTATCGAAACAAATTCACTATTCATAATTCGATTTCATTTCTAATTTGTAATATTTATTTATGTAAAAAGAGAAATAATAAAAAAGACTTTAATCTTTAAATAGACTTTGAATTTTATTGCAAATCCCAACTCAGGTGCAGCTTTACAAAGGTTTTTTAAGGTGAATTTCTGAGCTATTATATTCAATTTTCAATTAAAAATTCTATATATTGAAAAGTACATTTATATTTTGACCCAAAAATTCCAAGTTAAGAATTCCAAGTTAACGTAAAGTGAACTCAATTTAAATAATCCTGGGATTTATTCCCTCATGTGAGAAAAAATTACGTTTCTGTAATCATTAAAATTATCCCCCCCTGGAAAGAAAAGATTTTTTTTTGGTGAAAACGTTGAAATTATTGTAAAATGATTATGGTCGGCGTTAATGTTCGTGCTATGAAACACCTGCCAAGAATCGTTGTTGAGACCCTGAGAGATGCTGCCAAGTCGGGTCAAGTTGGGTCAAGTGATCTTACCACTTGAAACCGTTATCCGTACGGTGCAAAGATGCCAACCGCCATTGGGATTCAGCCCAAAATATATTCATCCCTTACATTTCCCAGACACTTTATAGTCGTCGATTTATAGTCTCACAAGACTATCATTTCACATTTCCTTAAAAGGAGAATATTCCAAAACGAAATATCCTCTTAAATTCCTATCTAAAACCGAGTCAGTCAAATCAATAATAATATTCGAATCTGAATTAACTGATATGATTGATTACTTTTTTCCCCCCGCTAATTCTTAAGTTTATCATAAAAAAGATTTTTGTAATTTATACAATCGAATAATTAAGATTTCTCTTAACTAAAATGTATTCAAGACTTTACTGATGTTGCTCTTTAGGTTGTAATCATTGTTCGTTACAAGTTTACAAATAATTTTCATTAGTTCTTTTTTCGAGACGATGTTCAGAATTCAATTCCTCTGCTCAGGGGGAAAATTCACTGGATGACAATGTTAATGCATTTGAATTCATAAAGGTTCTTCCTATATTTTGGCACTAAAAGGAGGCGTATATGTTGTATTCGAAATATTGTAATTCGAGTTGGCATTGGATGTAAAGGGAGAGAGCAAGTTAACCTTCACGGTCAACTTCATAAAACTGCCAGAAGCACTCGGGTGACATAAAGCCGAAAACCTTTCCATTTATGCTCTCCCATCTATGCAAGTATATGTGACTTTATGTTTATATACACTCGAGGCAAAATTCTGCAACTCATGTCGGCTTGGCGCCAACGAATCCTTCAATTAGAAACCATGCGACCGTGTATGTTACTAAAGTAACATCACCCATCTTGTTACTATTATCCTATCCTAATAATTCATTTTTAACGTCCTTTATAGTTCAGAACGAAAATTCCCAAAAGATTCAAATTTTAATTACTGATATTTTTGGCAAGTTCATCTTTCCCCGATAAGAATTAGAATTCGAAAACATTACTTACATTTTTAGGAATAGAATTCAAAAGTGCGGCTTACCTGGAAAATAAAGAGAGAGAGAGGTTGTTAATACTTTTTATACTTGACTACTTGCTATTATAAATTATACATTATATTCTTAAATACGCTATAAATTTTCATTCCAATTGAATGCAAAGAGTTTATATACGTCTGTAAAATTATGAATTATGGTTCGAGAGACCAGAGACTTGAATCAATTACAGAGTTTATGATTCAGAAACAAATAAAACTAACGGATTTAATAAGTAAGGCAATAAGGTTACTTATGACCCCTAAAGTGTCGGCGCATTTAATTCTACTTTTAAAACCACACGCTCTTTATAGCGCCGGATATTATTTATTTTTTAATTTGAATTTGAATGTGTTTTAAAAATCCAAGCTGCATTTGGCAATTAGGCAAGAAAACTACAAGGAATGTAATTGATGATTTGGAATCTAATTGTCTTGACGTCCTAAAGACTCAATATAATTGTATTCCATTATTTTACTACAGATACGTTCATGGTACGATCATTTGAATCCATACCATGACTTGGTCATTAACACTTTAAATTCTTACAATAGTAATTTACAATTCTATGCCAATTGTTAATAAAAATCTAAAATCAATTGTAAAACTGAACAAAGATTCGGACCAAACCGAAAGATGGCAAGAATCGAATGTCGTTTACAAAATCAATTGTAAATGTTGCCCTGAGAATTATATTGGTCAGTTCATTGAACACAATTTGAAAATAAAAACGATAAATCTGCACATCAACTAAATTTCAAACATGACTGCGATTAAAGTCAGAAGAAAACCATAATACTTGATCGTGAACCAAATTATAAAAAACGCTCCATTTGAGAAATGAAATCTTGATTTACGATTCTACAATCAATAAAGAATTTGAATCAGTGTTTTAGAATCTATCAAGTAGCTCAGAATTTCACCTTAGAACCCTTTTTTTGCCAATTATGTAATCGTTTGTACTGCAATAATTGATTATGTCTATTCCCCATTTAGGAGGATCAGTTTACTGCTATCCTTTCTTCTCTATTGACTTCCTCATTTATGTACATTCAGAAAAAATTCCATTTATTTTCAAAAAAAAAAATTAAATGAACGAATAACAAAATTAAATTGAGTGATGAAGTTCATTTCACTGAATTTCCTTCTATCCAGCACTTGGATGAGTCTGACAGTCCATTTCCCTTTTGGTCTCCGTTTCACATCGCTTATCCCATCGTCTCTCCATTATGTCAACTCTGGTTTCTTCTGTAACTGTGGATATTTCCCTACAGTTTATAGTCTGTCCAAATAATCTCTCTTTGGTCTGCTCCGCATGAATGAGGGGTTTCTATCACTTTATTAGATCTCTCCTAATTTTTCACATTGAAAATTGAATATTATTTCTTATTGTGGTCTATTAAATTAAGTAATTGCCAAGTTGAGTCTTAATTTATTTATTATATTCAATTTTATCTTTGGGTAAAAATCAGAAGGAATTTATTATTCATCCTGAATGGAAATACGTTCCAGTAAAAGAATATTCAGATAAAAAAAACGAAACCAGAGATTTCAGATCATCTTTTTTCCTCTGCTC